ACAAATAATAATAATAGGTACTGAAAAATAATATGATGTTAATATTTTTTTGTTCTAGGTAATAATCACATTATATATTAAGTATTTTTTTGATAATCCGAATAAAAAAAAGTAAAAAAAAATAAAAGACTAAGAATGACACAAAAGCACCAATGTATTGGTGCACAATTTGACACCTTTTTTCTCAAGGAGAGATGTTAAGGATTTAAAATTTTAAAACGGTCTTGTTAGATTGTTGCACTGTATAAACCAGTACAGAAAGAAAGTATTTACAAATGGTAAGTAAGTGTTTACAAATTATCATCAACGCGTTTATTTGAAAGTGGTTTTATTACTTTTATTAATAATAATTATTCCTGTACTCTTGAACGCAAAGTCAAGAGTGTAAAGGATGTATTAAGAGTGCATTTAATAATTATCTAACAGATAGCCAATATATCATCAACAAACTGATTACATGGACGGCGTCGCACACCATGTCCATATTTCTTCTTGCCCTACTATTCCCCAGCTCAGTTTTTATTCTATTACAATACAAAACAATAAATCGTTTATCACACACCATTAAATGATGAAGTATGATGAAATAGTATATTATACCTTTAACTGTACATTGAAATTCGTCAACAATAACTGGTGCGCATTTTTGCAATCAGAATTAGACTTAAGTTGTCCAGTTACAAACTAGATTGTATTTGTATGTAACAAAATAATTTATTGTAAAAAAACTACTTGTTATAGATTACAATAGTGAATCTTCCAAGTGTATAGAATGGTCTAACTAAGGAGCACTTGAATTACAGGTTTACACAAAAAAACAACTCAATGTTACAAAATAAACCACTAAAAACGTCCACAAAACAATCACAATTGTTATTAGTTAATTCAGTCAGACAACTTATCTTATAACAAATAAGTTTAGCTAATGAAAAACAACATTTTAAATTTGCCAGAAAAGAAAAGTTTATTATGATTTTGTGAAATATATAATGTTGGTTAGGTAAAAGTTTATACAGTCGAATAATAATTATATTGTAGCTAAAAAAAAACTGGGTATCTTTTTCTGGGTCCTTTCTGTAACTAAAAATATACATAAATATCATCAATTAATATAATTTATATTCACAATGTAACCACTGTTAAGACAAGAAAACTGATAATGTATGTTACATAGTTAGACTTTTAACATCTGTTACTCTCTAGAACTATTATTTCATCAATTTTTGTTTAATTAAACGGTATAAATAATATTAGGTTATTTAGAATTTCAATACAACATTTTTGTGATAAAATCTATTATTATTTAAATAATATATACGCTAAGCTTTCAATTTTTTAAGACACTAAATATATGCTGGCTTTTTTGAATATAGCTAGAATATTCAAGTACTTGGTTTTCTACATAGAAAAAAACCCACTGAATTTTTTGAAAAAAATGCTCATGATATATATGTGCACGATTGTTTTATCTTTTTATAAAATCTTAAGTGAATGTATTGTCATTGTCGAAGATGCTATGTTACTACTAAACGCCCAGCAACACTTTTCTTTAAAATTATTGCAGTTTTGTGGTTATTCTTTTTGAAAAAGTATTTTTTAATGCTATATTACAATATTAGACAGTCCTTAAATTTTTGTACCTTATTTAGTATTTTCTAGAACTTCATCAATTTCTGAAACATAAACCATAACATATTTATTAATTTGAATTTTTAAATTAAGATTAATTTGTTGAAAATGTTGATAGGTTGTTGCGTACAACAGTCTGAGCTCAGTTCAGTCTGCTGTATTAAATTTAAATATTTAATTATTTTTAATAACTTTAAACTATTTATTCAACGCCGGTTATCGACCAGTTAAAATGAAAAGCAATTTATTCTTAATTTGAAAATGTTATTAAATATATATGTTAACGTTTAAGTATGGAAAGCTGATAAAGCTGTGGAAAATACTTAAATAGGTAAACATTTGAATATTGTCCATTATTGAAGTAAAACATAAACAAAAATGTTTTCAAAAAGAATAATTATAAAATTGCCATTATTTAAAGAGTAAACTAGTGTAGGGCGTTAAAAGAATCCCCGGTCTTTATGTGTGCTTTAAATTTAGGTTAGGTTACCTTATCAACAATGACTACTGTGACTACCCCAAATACCACGACTTCGATGACTATGATGGCCATGATGAGTATGAACAGGAGCACAATGATTATCACGACGAACAACAGTACCACAACGTGGTTCATGACGAATGGTAACAGAATTTAAATCAACTGAAATCGTTAAATTCATTTTTTAAGTTTATTAGCTTACCTATGATAATTAATAACTATAATTATGTAAGTAAATCACCAAATTAGCATTGCACTCCATAAGCAATTTGAAATTGAGTAAATAAAAATAAGAAGTACATACTTGAAACAGTAAATAAAACTGAGTTTCGTTTAGAAATGTATTTGATAAGGTAATTTTTAAACCATTTTATACGTTATATTTCACCTTAACTGTTTATAATTACATACCTTTTGAATCACAACCATGCTCGTCTAAATATAAATAAAACAATTAGTTATCAATATAAATTCATTGCATAAGTATAGAAAATATGTATAAACCATTTAAGATATCTAATACACTTACAAATTTACTTGATATAGTAATTTATTGTTTTTTTTTTACATACCTTCTGATTCACTACTCGAACTATCGTGGTCTATAATATATAAAGAAAACCATTAGTTATCAAGTATTAGTAATTAGTAGTTTCATATCGATAAGTGTATAGAGCATTAATATAATCAACTTCGATCAACTCAACATAAGTCTTTTAGTTAGATACATCAAAGACAAAACAATCATTTTTTAAAGTAATTGTTAAACATTTCATACATGTCATTGCCGTTATCTGTTTATTTTTACATACCATTACAGCTTGCCGAACCACGTTGAACTACATATAAAGAACACCATTAGTTAACAATATAATTTCACACTTGCACTACAACTAGTTAGTTATTACTTACCCACTACACGAATTGGTGCAGGAGAATGTGAACCTAAAAATATTGGGTATCATTGTATTACTAATTAATCCATGCTAACTATGGTATATTAACAGTTTGGAATAATCGACTTGAGAATAAACAAAAAAAAAATAAGATACAAATATTTAAAAAATCCCCAAACAAATAAGTAGTATATATTTTAAACAGTAAAATATATAATTAGGTGTCAATAGCACATTTTTTTGATACCCTTAACAGCTCTTTTGTACATACCTCCACAACTTGCCGAACCATGTTGGGCTACACCAATATAAAGAATACCATTAGTTATCAATATAAATTCAGCTCCATTTCTGCGTTTGTTGTTACTTACGTTGTCCATATCCCGAGCCATTTGGGGCTAAATATAAAGCACAAAATTAGGTGTCAATATGGATTTTTATATACATATGTAAATGTGTGAGAAAAATATGTATTTTGCATTCACCTAATCTACTTAAAAACCATAAGTACTCACGTTGTCCATATTGCATGCTATTTGGTGCTAAATCTAAAGAACAAAATTAGATGTCAATATGGATTTTTTTTATAAGGACACGTTGATTGCGTTTATAGACCTAGAAAATACATTTGATAAAGTGAGCTGGCAAAAGTTATTTCAGTCTCTACAGCCACTAAGAGTGGATTTCAAGGATAGGCAACTGATATTGAATTTTACCAGATACCAGACAGCAGTAATACTAGTAGAAGACAAATTAGCAACAGCTAAATTACGGGAAGGCTCTAGACGAGGGTGTCTCATGTCAGCAATGTTGTTTAATGTATAAGCTCAAAAGACAAAAAATAGGAGTGACGGTCGGAGTATGACTTATACAAATACTTAGATTCGCAGACGACATTGCTTCAATAACCAAATAGATTAGTTTAAGCGTTTGTGTGAAGCGTGGCTCTACATGGATCGGAATCTTGGATGATAAACAAAGCAGAAGAAACATGTTTACTAAGCTTCAAAATGTTGAGCTGGCTGAGGCCGCTAAGAGTTAGACTGGGCGGAGTTCCGTTCCAATATGAAATATGCGAACTTAAAGGATTATTAAGATCAAAGAAGATTAATTGGACATATTTTAATATACGAGAAGGAACTACACCACAGAATATTGGTAAGACAAATAGAAGCAAGATAGGCAGAGGACTTACAGGGAACTAAACAGGTTGGCGAATAACAGAGAAGATTGGAGGGAGTTTGGAAGAATGCTGTAAAGCAACCATATGTAAATGTGTGAGAAAAATATGTATTAGGCATTCAAGTTGTCTACTTAAAAGACATAAGTACTTACATTGTCCATATACTTGTGGGGCTAATTGGGCTAAATATAAAGAACGAAATTAGGAATCATAATATTTTGTTACAAACATATGTAAGTGTGTGAGAAAAATATGTATTAGGCATTCAAGTAATCAAATTAAAATCCATAGCTATCGTAATTGTACTCTTAATTTTCGGATAATCAACCCAAAAATTAACAAACAAAACCGAATTAAAAACAAATACCAACAATTTGAGAATTTAAACACATTTTTAGTTGAAATATCAAAAATCAAAAATTGATTTCAACAATAACCTAGGAAGGAGTTCGATAAACTACTGTTGTTATAAAATTGAATTCTGACCATCCTAAGCAGGCCTAATTGTCAGGGTTTTATGTCTTGCATTTAAGTAATCAACATAAAATCTTAGTATAAAAAACTGTAGTAACTATATTATTAATTTCCGGATAATCAACCTGAGAAAGATCAAACAATAAAAACCGAGATACAAATATAAAATTACAAGATCATACTTAAAAAAGTAAATTCAAAATTATGTACCTATTAAAAATAAAAAATGATTTATAAAATATTTCAAAATTTCGAATAACTCATTCTTAAAAGTAATTTTCTTTAACGTTATTCTAAAAATTGTGTAACGTGCATTTTATTGTGAGATGATACTTACCTTGTTGTGAATAAATAGGCGGAAGTTGTGGAATATATGGCACACCTTGTAACCCTAAAAAAAAAACACAAAATGGGCAGTCAAAATTAATTCAAAGTTTCATGCGTAGTAAGTGGGAAAATAGATAATGCACTCAAGTTATGAACTTCTAATAATACATTTTGTCGTGAACTTAGATACTTTAAAGTAATATTATATAACGTAATTATAATTGCTATATGATACTTACCTTGTTGTGGAAATGGTGACATGTTTGATGCACCACCTAAACGTAATGAACAAAATAAGTAATCAATGTGATTTCATAATCGCATACATATTAATAAATGTAAGTATGTGAAAAAAAAAATGAATAGTACCTACACTTCAAATAGCTAATTATTTTCAAACATTTATTATTTGTTAATTTCACTTGATACTTACCTTGTGAAGGATATAATGGCATAGTTTGTGCTACAAAAAAAAAAGGAACAAAATTATTTATAAATATGAGTTTGTACTCGAATAGATAAATGTGTGAGGAAAATATATAATATAAGGCATTTAATGAATCGACTTTTATCAATACAATATGCCTTTAAATTACATAAACAGTTAATTTTTAAATATTCAATATGAAATCAAAAAAACGAATAAAAACGAGGTAAAACGAGGAAATACAAAATTATTTTTAAAAAAACTTCTACAATTCAAACTTTTATACAAAATATACGAAAAAAAAAACCAGTGAAATTGTATATCTTGCCAGTTATTGCTATATGATAATTACCTTGTTGTGGAAATGGTGACATGTTTGATACACCACCTAAACATTAAGAACCGAATAAGGAATAAAGTTCATAGTCGCATACATGTTATGTAAGTGAGTGAAGAAAAGAAGTATAATAAATGTGTACAATCAAATTGTATCTATACAATACTCCATAAAAATTTAGTAACCCACCAAAGTTTTTCTCCATTGTAATAAAAGTTCTACTTAAGAGGGTTGCATGCGGTTTGGTTTTAAGGAGTTTTGTATAGGCAATAATTAAGTAAACTCAATTTGACTGTAAAGTAATACAGATATCATTTTATTGATAATATAGATTATCAACGAAATATCGAAGAAACAAGTAAAAGCTAGTTATTTAAAAGTAACTAAAAATAATGAGTAAACTATTGGAAAAATAAATACAAATTTATTAAAAATACTATTTAATTTAATAAAAGACAATTTCTACATTTCAAACTTTTATACAATATGTATAAAAAAATACTAAAACTTTATATCGTACCTTGTGGATATTGTATCCCACTTGATGCACCACCTAAACGTTGAGAACAAAATAAGGATTGAATACGATTTCATAGTCGCATACATATTATGATGTAAGTGAGTGAAGACAATAAGTATAATACATGTAATTAATCAACTTCTACTTATACAATACTTTATAAAAATTACTAAGTATACAGTTATTGCTAGATGATACTTACCTTGTTGTGGATATAGTGACATGTTTGATGCACCACCTAAACGTTAAGAACAAAAATTGGAACGAATATGATTTCATAGTCACATACATATGTAATATAATGTAAGTGAGTGAAGATAATAAGTATAATACGTTTAATTAATCGACTTATATGATTACAATACTCTATAATAAATACTAAGTATACATGGAAATGTTCTACAACTCAATTTTTTATACAAAATGTATATAACAATACAATAATTGTTTTAACTTGCATATAAATACTAGATGATACATACCTTGTGGTAGATATTGTATCGCACTGGATGCACCACCTAAACGTTAAGAACAAAATAAATATTCCTTATAAATTTCAACTCGATCCGAATCTTTTTCTCGAAATTATAGGCAGTAAATATTCTAACTTAAAAACTCTTTTGTTTTTTCAAATTTTAACTGTTATTAATACTAAATTTAACTATTAAAAAAGTTACAGTGTACAGACATAAAAAAAAGCCCACATCATGGTAAAACCAATAGCATCTCAGCTTTGTATCGAAGCTAAAACAAAATTTTTTTATAACGTGCCTATAATTACTAGATGATACATACCTTGTGGTAGATATTGTATCGCACTGGATGCACCACCTAACACCCGTTAAGAACAAAATAAGGATTAAACAAGATTTCATAGTCACGTACATACGAGTATTATGTAACTGTGTGAAGACAATAAGTATAATACATTTATATTTATAATACAATTTAGAAGCAAAATTAAGATATTTTTAACGTGCATGTAATTCATAGTGGTTACTTACCTGGTTGATATTGATAACCTTGCGGGAATAAATATAAAGAAATAAATTAGTTATCAATATGAGTTCATACTAACATAAATTATAAGACAATGAAAACTGGACATGCTCATTGCTCCTCCTGTAAGAAACTTATGCATCTGTAAAATGTTAGCTCGATATGAGAGGGATTATTCAAGGATTTAAATTAGTCTAAGCTATATACATACACATATGGCAACACATACGGCTGCGTTACCTACATTATAAACTGAAAGCATGTCTCTACCGACAAAGTTCAATACCTAATATTGTTATGGAAATGTATATAAGATATACGGCAAAGGTGTACAAACCACTTAACTTGATATGGCTAAATCCTCTCCCCCCATTTAAATATTTATACACTCAGCTATATTAATGGATGTCTTAAATAGTAACAAAAGGTATATCCCAATAATAACGAGAAAGACGAAAAACTCAATCAATGGTTTTATGTAGAGAATCTATTGCTATTATGATTGATGCAAGAGATAATGACTAAAGATGAGAGTGTTAGTACATCACATTTGAGCAAGAAGCTATCAGGGCCCTTCCTTCATACCCAATAAAGATATTTGCTATATTTTAACGTAGGTACCCAAAAAAACTATAATTATATCTATCCACACGATGACTGATTTGTAACATCTGGAGCAATACATCATAATTACATTATATAAGTGAGTGATGAAAATAAGTAATTTACATTTAATTAATCACTATTTATACAATACTCTATAAACATTACTAAGTATAAAATTATTGCTAGACGATACTTACCTTGTTGTGGATTTAGTGACATGTTTGATGCACCGCCTAAACGTTAAGAACATAATAAGTAATCAATATGATTTCATAGTCACATACATATTATGATGTAAGTGAGTGAAGATAATAAGTATAATACGTTTAATTAATCGACTTCTATTAATACAATACTCTATAATAAATACTAAGTATACATAAAAATGTTCTACAACTCAAGTTTTTATATAAAATGTATATAAAAACAAAATCATTTTTTTAACGTGCCTATAATTACTAGATGATACATACCTTGTGGTAGATATTGTATCGCACTGGATGCACCACCTAAACGTTAAGAACAAAATAAATATTCCTTATAAATTTCAACTCGATCCGAATCTTTTTCTCGAAATTATAGGCAGTAAAAGTTCTAACTTAAAAACTCTTTTGTTTTTTTTAAATTTTAACTGTTATTATACTAAATTTAACTATTAAAAAAGTTACAGTGTACAGACATAAAAAAGGATTGAATACGATTTCATAGTCGCATACATATTATGATGTAAGTGAGTGAAGACAATAAGTATAATACATTTAATTAATCAACTTCTACTTATACAATACTTTATAAAAATTACTAAGTATACTTAAAAATGTTCTAAAACTCAATTTTTTATACAAAATGTATATAACAATAAAATAATTTTTTTAACGTTCCTATAATTACTAGATGGCACATACCTTGTGGTAGATATTGTATCGCACTGGATGCACCACCTAAACGTTAAGAACAAAAATTGAAATGAATATGATTTCATAGTCACATATATATGTAATATAATGTAAGTGAGTGAAGACAATAAGTATAATACGTTTAATTAATCAACTTCTATTAATACAATACTCTATAAAAATTACTAAGTATACTTAAAAATGTTCTAAAACTCAATTTTTTATACAAAATGTATATAACAATAAAATAATTTTTTTAACGTTCCTATAATTACTAGATGGCACATACCTTGTGGTAGATATTGTATCGCACTGGATGCACCACCTAAACGTTAAGAACAAAATAAGGAATGAATATGACTTCATAGTCGCATACAAATTATGTAAGTGAGTGAAGACAATAAGTATAAAGTGTCCTAATATAAGTAGACGGGTCGTGTAATAAACACAATATTATGATACCAACCGAAACGGTTCGATTAAACTTTATCTCTCACACCATACACGGGTCGACGTTATCAACCTACAGTTATTATCGTCTTTTCGTTTCTCACATCTAGTACACCGTTAATGTAGTTAAAAAAAAAATTAAATTAAAACCTAAAAATGGTACTTGTGTATCAAAACTTAATAGTTTCATTGTGAATAGATGTATATAAAAATGAATTATTACTACTGACAAATTTTCAACTTAAAGGTTTAAAACTACGGCAAAAAACCCAAACAAATTTAACTCTACCCCCCCTCCCTCTAGAGAGATAGAAAATGGGTATAATTTAAATTTGACACAACTGACGTGCGTGGGCATACCAATTAAATATTCCTTGTAAATTTCAACTCGATCAGAATCTTTTTCTCGAATTATAGGCAGTAAAAGAAAGGTCTAACTTAAAAACTTTTATGGTTTTTTTTTGTTTTTTCAAATTTTAACTGTGAAAAGTAAATTTTTTCAACTTTTACCCCTCCAAAATACCAACTAGATGAAATTTGTGATTTATAGAGTGGCTACTCGAAGGAATTGGTGCAGTAAAAGTTACAGTGTATACAGACACAAAAAAGCCCACATCATGGTAAAACAAATTGCATCGAAGCTAAAACAAAATTATTTTATAACGTGCCTCTAATATTACTATATGATACATACCTTGTGGTAGATATTGTATCGCACTTGATGCACCACCTAAACGTTAAGAACAAAATGAGGAATGAATATGATTTCATAGTCGCATATATATTATGTAAGTGAGTGAAGACAATAAGTATAATACATTTAATTAATCAACTTCTATTTACACAATACTCTACAAAAATTACTTAGTATACATAAAAATGTTTTAAAACTCAAATTTTTATATAAAATGTATATAAAAATAAAATAATTTTATAACGTTACTATAATTACTAGATGATACATACCTTGTGGTAGATATTGTATCGCACTTGATGCACCACCTAAACGTTAAAAACAAAATAAGTAATGATTATGATTTTA